TTGAATAATGTCACAGTATAGCATGTTGAATAAAGTCATACTATAGCATGTTGAATAAAGTCACAGTATAGCATGTTGAATAAAGTCACAGTATAGCATGTTGAATAAAGTCACAGTATAGCATGTTGAATAATGTCACAGTATAGCATGTTGAATAAAGTCACAGTATAGCATGTTGAATAATGTCACAGTATAGCATGTTGAATAAAGTCACAGTATAGCATGTTGAATAAAGTCATAGTATAGCATGTTGAATAAATTATGACGAAAATGGTAAAAAAAAGTCATGTTAAGTATTTTGACAAACAAAATGATTCATTTTGAAAGTGCGATTGTGACCTAAACTGAATACACCACCTGGTGTGTTGTGACATTTAAAGTGCGTCAGTCTGTTTGGTTTGTATAGATCTGATCTCAGCTGAAAGAATCAGCCCGGAGAAATCCATCGTTTGGATATTGAATTAAGCTCAGAGTTATGCGATATACTGTACAAATTAAAAGCAAAGACCTTGCTCTAAATTGAGTGCATACAGTAGAGTAGGATTAAGTCTAAATATATCATTTTAATCTCAGCATTTAAGCACACACACAATAAACACGCTTTCTCAATTTTCTATCTTTTGGTGCTATAACATCTTTCGGCATGAGCTGAATTAACATATTGTGATGCCTTACTTAAAAATGGGACTATTTTCATCCTCACCGTCTGTACTATTTCCTGACCCTGTTCTATCTCTCTTCTCTTAAGCAGCAGGCGGCACGAGTTGGAAACCCAGTACCTGAAGGTAACAAGCATCAGCATTATGCAATCAGCTCGCCCCCCCCCCCCCCTTCTCTTTCAGTCCTGCGTTACAGAGCTATAAATACAACCAGCAAGGCAGCAACAGAGTAAAATGCAAAGGTAGAATGCTGACGGGATAGCCGTCTTTGGTTGCTGTTCGGGTCAAACGTTGATGAATTGCAGGTCAGGGATGAAACTCAATGTATGTGTGTGTGTGTGTGTTATGGGCAGTGGGGGGCTATTTGGACCGTAGAGCCCCCCAACAACCTGCTGAACTCTCTGTCACTTAATCTCCTGACTACCGACACACACGCTGAACTCATGTCGCTTTAGCTACCGGCAACTTTGACAAGTTTAAACTCAGATGTCAAAAGTAACTAAGAAGATAATGTAGGTTCACTTTTGAGGTACATTCTAAAAGGATAAGTTCACAATTTTGTCTTCAAACATTATTCACACACCCATGTGTACATTAGTCGCTGTACTTTCCCCCAGTTTCCATACAAAACAGATCCCTGGTGCAATTACAATGTTAGAGACGGTGGACCAAATCCACAGTTTTTGGCTCTTGTGAAAATGACTTCTATAGCCAATTATGACATTTCAACAAATCATGTGAGTATATCTTCCAAGATGAAAGTCTTTTTGGTACAAAAATTCTCTCTTTGTGTTTCCCAGACAGTTTTCCCTTGCAGCGTTGGGGTGAAGGGATGAACCAGTTTGCATCCAAAAAGCAGCGACCGGCTCTTCTGCCATGAGCGCGTGGTCTTTCCTCCTCCTGGACGCCGCTCTCTGCAGGAGTTAATACATACACCTTCACATTCTTGTAAATAGATCCTGATTTATAAACAGTTTTGCAAAATAAATAGATAAATACAAAGTTTTAGATCATTTAGATTTTCAAAAGTTGACTCTATAATAGGGCTACATCACAGTAGAGATTGTTTTGATACATAAATGTTTACGTATCATGTACATCATTTCCATTGAAGAAAAGCTACAGTGTTTGTATATACTGTTAGGCATAGTTCTTAGAAAGAAAGAACACGGGCCAAGAACATTGCAGTGAAATAAAGCCTCTGAATTGAACCCATCCTAGTAGGATAGCAGCTACAATGGGCCCGGGAAGGGGTCTGGTGACACTTTAAATGTTTGCTCCACCACAGAATACAGCACGTTTTCTCTTTTGCACACACAGACACACTAACCTTTCCTCTTTTTAACACACGGTGTGTTGACATTTGGCTGCTTGAAGGGGAAGTCCTGAGCTTTGAATCGCGTTAGTCTCGTCGCTGTAATCTCATTTGTTCAGGAGAGGAGTGTGAACAAAGCAGAGCCTCCACCTGTTCAGAAAAGATATTATGTCTGGATATAAAAAAAAATTTACACTTCTCAGCTGTGTCCAAATCCTTTCCCTCTGAATGGAGAATAAGCCTGAGGGTTTTCTTTGGGAAAGAAACGTTCTTTTCTTCATCTTTGGCATCTGCTTACCATATAGCTTCATCGTGGTATTACATGTATTATTGCTGTGGTCACACTAGTCTTGTTATGGAATGTTTACATCTGTTTAAATTGTGACAGCTGTATTTAATCAAAACAACGCTCCCTGATTTGAACGCCTTCCAGGCTCTTTCCTCACCAGATGAGAGGAAATTTAAAATAATCTATTTACTCGTTTTTGTCAAAACAGCTTCAATAACAAAATGAAATGTTTGATGAATAAATCGGTGTAATATAATCTCTGCTTCCATTCCTCTGCTTTCATGTTCCATCTTCAATCCTAAAAGTTTCTGAATAAATCTAATATTCCAGTCTAAACACACCTGCCGTCCTCTTTGCTGCTTCTCAGACAGCCAATTCAACATACCTGCAGAGGTCGGCCTAATCCTGATGTGCACATTAACCCGGAGTGGTTCTGTAGCTGTGTACGACAGTCTGATGCTGGTTGCACAAACTTTAACCAGCCGATCCAGCGAGCCACACCACTCCAGTTAGACACAGCAGATGGAATGTGGATTGAAGTGTCAAAAAAAATGAATGCAATACTACATTGTCATGTCAATTCTCATAAACATGATAAAACATAACTGCAGATGGCTGTAAAGAGTCACCAGTGTAAAGGAAAGGCCTTCAGTATAGCAGGCCTACACGTCTACAGGTCAGGACAGACGGGGCTTCCGCCTCGGTTTCGTTCATGTTCTACCCGCTGGTTGGAAAATCCTGTTGTAGTTGTTGTTGCTGTCACAACAAATGACTAAATTACACATATTACCAAACTAATTCATGTCTGCAAATGAATTTCTGTCCATGCAGCTATAACAGCATGAACCATCGTAGGAATCAGTTTCAGGGACACTTTTGATGGAAAAAAGGGAACTTGCGGATTGACAATTTTATCCAGAGCAGATGCTACTTTTCAAGGATGTTTCCAGACAGCTGTTGACTTGCATTGATATTGGTTTACTTTGTTTATAGGTCTCGTCAAATCTTCACCAGCAGTGTTTTCTATAAACAGGCGCTGGTGTCATGTGGAGGGAGGCAAGCCTGTCAAACAGATCTAATTTGTGAGCATAATCACAGCTTCATGTTACCGACTGAAATACAAAACGGGTCGTCCAAGTAATTTATTGCCCTACAGTGTATGAACCTGGCCCACGCATACACATGCCTCTGGTATGCTGCTTCTTAGCGGATTCCCAGGTTAGCATGTACATACCTTCGTGTGAGAATAAGTACACGGTCAAGTTTTACCATCAAATTGGGATCCGATAGTTCTGCTTCCGTTAATTTCCCATCATAAGCAAAGCACGGTGAGCTTTATTGTTATAGAAAGCATTTTAGTTTGGATCGTTTATGGGAATTGACATGAACATGTAGTATTACATTCTTTTTTTTTTTTTTGTTGACACTTCAAACCATATTACCCTCATTTTTTTGTCACTTTCAAGGAAAAAATATACTTAAAAAAAAAATGTGTGTAGTAAAAAAAACTGCCACATTTGACGCAATCCACCAAAATCTGCTGAGCACGGTTTAATCTTCATCCTCTCTGTGCCGTTTGCTTTCTCTCAGACACACACTCATTGCTTGGCAGCTGTGATTGGCAGCTGTGGCCGTCTTCTGGCGGTGTTGACTGCTGGAGATGTCACTTGATACTTGGACTCAAACGTCAGCAGTGCTGCTCTAAACATGACGGACAGCTCGTGTGCTGAAACTCTTCTCAGGACAAACTTGGCAATTGTCGCTCACGACCCTCGACGCTGTGATCACAGTTTGACATGACGACACGAGTATTGTCACTATCAAGTGTCAGAATGTAGCAACGTGGGCCGTTTAAGGAGGAACTCTAATGAAGTGTGTCAATGTGTCATTGAAAAGCACACCAAAATGCAGGCCGTGTGCAAACTTAATGTTATGAGCGACATGAAGCTTTTTGCCGGGAGCCCAAATCTGCATTGTTATACAGAGGAAGTGTCATATTAACAATTTCTATTGTCTTCTTAGGTTTGTTCCGTCTCTCCGTGTATTCCTAAAATCAGGAAATGTGCCATATTCTTTCCAATACTTCCATACAATCAATGTCAAAGAAATTGTGCTATTATCTTCCAAACTTGTGTGCATGCTGCTGATGTGTTGTAGTTCGTGTCATGCCCTGTAGTGTAATGGGTCAGTTCATCAGGTTTTTTTTAGAGACTATTAAAAAACAGATACTCCCATATAGAGATTCAGCACTTTCTCAGATTTATTTTCAGTTGGTCAAGCATAGATTATGTTAAAAACAGTGACAACCACAGATTGTCACTGCTGTAAATGTTACTACTAATCAAAAACGATCAACACAGCGAGTTCGAGTGACCCCCCCCCGCCCCCCCCCCCCGCGCTCATTCACTGTCATTGGCCTCGATCTGTTCACCCGTGAGACTCCCACCCTGCCGTCGTTACATTTCACAAACAGATTCCGCGGACAGATAATCACTTCATAGATTCATAGGCAGCGTCGTGAAACAGTTTCTTTTTAATCCCCTTTTTTTTTTGGTCAAAAATATAATCAAATAAAATAAATCATATTTACAGGAAAAAGTAAACACTCATCACTCGTAAGACACTACTTTTGTCAGAACATTATAAATAAAAATTCAGGGGGAAAGAAATATGAATCCTACAGGAGGATGCGCCCAAAACAACTCTCACACACACACACACAAGTAGCTCAAAAGATATATAGATGTATATATATGTATGTATCCATATATATTCTGTATATATGCTTCTCTACAAAAAAGCAAGTTTACTCTTTCTATGAGTAAATACATTCTACTCTACAATCACTAGAACAACAGAGTACATTCCCAACCAAAATGCTGCGATCGTTAATCAGGAGGATATTAGACTTAAACAATCGGTGGACCATGACCAGGAAGTATGCGACAACATGCTTAATGTGACTGCCATATTGTGTGTTTGTGTGTGTGTGTGTGCATGCATATGGGTGTGAAATAGCTTCCCATGACCCTCCGGTTTATGTGCTTGCCAGACAAACACACTCGCCCCACCCCGACAACACACATGCACACACACCCAGAAGAAATTGATGTGTTCAGCAGTTAGTCTGGTTCGCTTTGCCTCAGCAGTGGAAACGTGATCCCGGATCTATTTCTGCTGCTCTGCAGAGTTCAGGGCGGTCCGCGGATGAACTTTCAGGCTCATTCTGCAGCTCTTTTTCCTTCTGCTTCAAGAGAAATTTAGCAGGACCCCCAGACTTAAGACCTTACTCTCTGTGCCAATGCAAGAATGAGCGAGACACAGATTTCCTTCATTGTCACACAGGAGGAGATTTCTTTTCTTTTTGCCTGATATCTCATAACCGTCTTGACGGTGAATATCAGATCACAAAACCTATTGCTTTCTCACTTCTGAGACTGCCGGGATGATTAGATTTGTGCAACAAAGGTTTCAGAGTCTTTGGTGTTTGGATAAATCCCGATCCGCAGAACAAACCAGAACCCGTTTTCCCAACTGTCATTCTCTTTCCTCTTTAACATTTGACCTGGCAGGGGGATGAAGCGGTGCCTTAGGGGAAAACGGGCCCGACAGTCTCCAAAGCAAGTCCAAAACGCTGACGTTACCTGGCAACTCGGCACCCAGAACCCTTTAAGTACTGAACATATTGCAGCATCTAAATGCGCAAAGCTCCTGCATGGGTTGCCAAAAAAAAGTTCTCTTTCCTTCCTCTTCTCTCCTGTCAGCAAAGCTCGAGTTGTTCACAGATAACTGCTGTTTCTCCAAAAGGCAAAAGTAAAATCCATTACATACGGCGCTACGGACAGCCCGCTATAATGCACCAACATGACAGACGGGGGAGATGCGTTCCCTCAGCTACGCATGGCTCAAATCCTAAAGGACAAACAAGGCCTTACCACCTGTGTACCTCTCACTACATACAGTACAATGTTACGTGTAACACAGAAACCACAAAGCAAACAATGTCACGCTGTCTCAATGTGCTCGGCTGTTATTGACAGTGAATGCTGATATTACAGAATATTTACATTTATGATTACATGTGTGCCTATTTGCATGCTTGTGTGTGTGCGTGTGTCAGGTGGCCCTGAGAACAATGCGCGTGTGTGTGTGTGTTGTTTGTGTGTGTGTGTTTTGTGCTTCTTAGATCTGAAGGTGTAGTTGTGAAACGCCCACGGAGGGGCGGTGTGTGCGTGAAAGTGTAGATGTTTACAATGGCTGCCTGTTTTCCTCTTTCATAGAGATCTCTTAAGAGACATTTCTAGGGAACACTGGAGCCGGAAGAACATCCATCAGAAAACTGACCGGGACCCGAGTCCAGCACAAACAACCACTACTCTCTAGGAAAGTTCTACATAAGTGATGACAGTCCAAGCCTTCAAACGGGGCTACCTAGAGCATTCGTCTTCAGGTGAAGAGTACTGTTTTCTATTGAGACATTTCATAGTGGAGTACGGCTGGTATTGTCATCTTCCTGTTGGTGCAATATGGGAACCACAGCTGGAAACTATCTGCCGAATAAAGCTTTTTTAAATATGGTTTATGAAAGGAGCAGCTTTACTTTCCTTCTCCTCTTTGTTCGTCATGCTTTCTCTAAATCATCACTAAATATATACTTTTAAAGAACAAAAATATTGACTTGCTTTTTCTTTTTTTTCCTGCGATAATCCCGATTACACCACAAAGCATACGGATAGTTTGAGTATATATTTTTCATTAAACTGGGAGGGACTTTCAGGTAATGGTAAAAAGCGGTAGAATGCTATTTTCCTAAACATTTCATTGTAAAGCCTAACAAGGAAACACACACATGCAGGACCTGCCTAACGAGAAGACAACAACTCCCAAACCTCCACAGTCCTACCAGACCGTCTGTGCCGGGGGTTTGAGACCGACTATGTCTCCCTGAGCTCTCATCTGAACGTGACCGTCCAGCCAACAGACCAAGAGGACAGGGTCAGTAGTCAGGGTGACTCCTCCTGTGTGTCTGTTCAGTCTGAGGGGAAATGAAATGGTTGCGCACTGAGGTATGACTGTCTGCCTTATTAATGTGGGCCATCTGGACAGAGGAAGAGAGAGAAAGACGGAGCGAGGGCAGAGGGGAAATTATGATGACTTCCTAGCTGATAGAGAAGGTCCGTCTCCAAGTTATTCACCTCCACGTGAATCTCACAGCAGAATGTCAAAGCAGTGCCTCTCTGGGATGAGATGAGACGACCGGAGGTGCTCTGTGAATTGATGGGAAAATGCTTGGAATAGCTAAACAAATTTCTCAATCGGGAGTACAGTGGCTGCTGCAATAACACAAACACACTGTGTGGATGAGTCCAGTTGTTTCAGTTGAGGAACCAGCTGTTCAAACACAAATGGCTCAACTGGAGGAAGAACAGGATATCCTTCCCTTTACCTCCAATTTCCGACTGCACAACTTTATTCCATCGACAGAAAAGCTGCAGAATTGTCGTTGCTGCCGGCTCAGGGGTGTCGTTAGATCGAACTGCAATTTTACTTTTTCTCTTGAAAAATAGGCTTAGGGGCCCGAGTGAGTCTAATTCTCAGATGTTGTTTTTGTTGAATCAAAGCAGACACAAACACGTGAGATCAAACTGGTGCCCAGATCAATGCAGCTGTGAGGGGGGGGGGGGGGGAAAGCCCTTTGAAGCACATTCTGTTTGATTCTGCCCCCACTGACTGACACCTCGTCTCGATTAAAGGCTAAAAATAAAAATAAATAACCGATGAAGAGCTTTCAGAAGCATGTACGCACCACAGAGAACTGCAGAAATCCCACACGGTGCTGAGTGAGTACTGTGCATATGCTGCGACTGCTAGTGTGAACAGTGTTGCGACGCCTGTTTGGTTCCAACAATACCCCAAAATAAGACCCAACGTATTAAAGCCCTTAAGAGTTTAATGGAATATCTCATCTCTCAGTCCAATTACTACGTGCGTAAATAATGCGTGCAATAAGCAGCTAGGACACTAGGACTACACGGTGAACTACTACCAAGTGAAATATGCATGTAATTTGAGACTAAAAATGATAACCAACCAAACTCCTTCTCCTTCATATCTCTCCATGAGAGTTCAACAACCTTGTGACTAGCTAGTGCAGCAGTGCCTTAAAATGCAGGAACACTAACTGCACGAGGATGCTTCAAATCTTCGAAAGAGACAGATTTCGGTCTCAAAATACAAAGTCAATATACCGTTTGACCTCAAAAGCTAATTTTGCTTCCTTCAAATGTGCGAGAGTTCAGCATCACGGCTCCATCAAGAGCACACTCAGCCTTACGGAGGGGTTTTGCAGAAGTGTCTGAAACAGTGGCGGGAGCAAGGCATGCACCAATACAACTTTCTCTCTCCAAAAAGCAATACAAGACTTTTGTCTAAATGTAAAATCTGTAAAGCTCACTGTGTGGAACTTATTGGAATGGTTTGAATGCACTGTAACACGAGGCCAGAGATTGCTGTGGTCGATACTGAAAAGGCATGTTTGATCGGTGCATCCCTAGTTGAAGATTCCTTAATCCACCTCAGCTTCGGCTAGGTTTCTTTTTCTCACATTTCATAGCTTGTGACTGGCAAAGGGCAGCCAGGTGTCATCACCAACCACTCCATTTCAAAGTCCCACTTTTGAAGATTTTTGCGGGCTATACTTTTAATTAGTTAGCCAGTAGTCTGTGCTGTGTCTATCCCATTGATTGAGAAGGCCCTTTGACAAAGCTCTATCTTCCACCAGCAGCATCTTGTCCGTACGGTAGAGTAGCGCCATAGAAGACTGGAGGGATGTGTGTGTGTGTGTGTGTGTGTGTGTGTGTGTGTGTGTGTGTGCGTTTGAATGTGTGTGTTTGCAGAAAGAAGGAACAGTGATGCGTGTGAGTGAGCTGTGCTTTTGGTCCCTAAGGCGATGCGGGACAGAGCTGACGATTGTTCCGAGTGTGTTGATGGGCGAGTCCGCCAACATGTGTTAATGGCAGATGGAGGAGCGCGTACATCAGAGTATACACATATATACTATACACATACAGTACTGTATTTGTAACAACAGTATTCCCTGCCAGCAGTGAGACTATAGAAAATGTGCTTTCTGACTGGAAAAGTGTGTGTGTGTGAGTGTGTGCACAGGTGTGATTGGGTTATGAGTGTGTTCAGTAGCGAGCGCCTCTGGTTCAGGTCACGTAAACAAACCTCGGGCAGCAGAGCGCGTGCTCAGAAAGACATACAAAGATAGAGGAAAAGTTTGAACAGAGGAGGAAAGAAAGAAGGAAGCGTTATCATTCTAACAGCAACGGTTAATATGAATACCAAAGATAATATTGCATCTCCTAGAACTAGCTTCAATTGCTCAGTGTATATAAAATTGGAAGAAAGCTATACTGTGATATTACAGTTACATTTCACTTTATAATTCTAAAATATTTTATACCAACAATAGTTATATTTTATAGAATATTTACATAAATACATTGTCATATAGTAATGTTATTGTCAACACATCGTTATAGAAACATACACCATACATAGATGTGTATATAGTCATGTTATAGCCACACGTACACACACACACGATGAATATACAATCAGAATGAGCTATTGCAATGCTGTGTTGGGTAAAACTCCGTCGGACATTCACTTCTTCTCAAGTAAGTAAGCTGATAGGGAGGAGTTCTGGTGTATTGCTATAAGAAAGAAATCCAGCCCAGCCTCGCACAGTCGCAGCTGAACGTTTCTCGTAAAATCCGAGTATTGCTTCGTGTGGTTTCTCTCCTCTGAAGTGATAATCTGGGTGGAGAGTAGAGGGAAAAACAAAGACAGGAGCTATGAGCCTCTCGGTTAGTAGTTGAGATCTGTCGCTGCTGTCGGGCAGAACGTTCTTTTTTTTCATCCCCCCCAGCGGACTGATCGAACGGAAACAGTTTTGGATCGACGAGTCCGTCACCTGGATAGAGAGGCAGCCCGCTTGGACGGACAGAAAAAGCAGGTGTCCCGCGTATACAGACAAGGTGAAGAGAGTATCCAACAACCTGCGGCCCCTAGAAGTCAGAGAAGAGATCTTGGGGACCCAGATGAATGATAAAAGGAGCGAGGGTCCGCGGCTGGTAAAAGGGATTGTCAATGAAAAGACCACCTGCAGGGAGTTCAAGAACAGAGACAAATAGAGCATGATCGATTACTACACACACACACGTTCAACTATATCATCCATATACATCATCTCTAGATATATATACACATCCCATTCCTCCAAAGCCACTTCCCCAAAACACATGACCACACACTGCCAGACTTTTGCAGAGCGAGTCCACGAGTGAGCGCTGGGGAATGGCGGTTTGCTGTCACTGGTCCAGGTCCCAGAGAAGCAGCAGAAAATGAACGGATGAATTAAAAATACATGTGGAGCTAAGTGATATAGCCTAATAACATGTATTTAATCAAACGATGTAAAGGCTGAACATGACATGAGACGCCGGTAAGGCAAAGTACATGTTTAAACTCATAAAAACAGATTATAACGGAACAGAAGAATAACAGAAAATAAACACAGAATACAACAGCTGGAAATTAATCTTCAAGCATGTGAGATTGAAGTAAAGCTTTGGTGATGTCAGACAAATAGCATTTGAAAGGTTTCACGACAACTCGATGGAGCTCAACCAACGACTGGACAACATACTGGGTCCTCTCAGCCAATGGCTGCGCCTCATGGCTGTAATCACGTCATGATCTCTCGCTGGGTCATCAATCATAACTGTCTCCTTCAGAGTATATTCTTTTTTTTACCTCTTATATTTGTTTTTACCCATGATATTAGGACATTCTTATGTCAAACATGTGGATCTTTATTGTCTAAGTCCAGAGGGATAGTTTTGAGCCCAAGTTGCAGCACCTCAGTTGGTGATGATCCTTTTTTAAAGCGTAAAACATAAAACACAGTTCAAACACTAATTCATGTGGGTCCCTTATTGCTGCTTTTGATTGTAATGTGCACCACAGTTTATGTTTGTGGTCGACATGCGGTGTTATCGGATCTATATGTCCGACAACAAGCCAATAAGGAGAATTAGCAGCTCACAGCTGTAAGATCTCAGCCAACCCGTCAAGTTGTGTTTTACATCCATGTCTGTCCAACATGTCATCACTTCATCATTTTATCTTATTAGCCATTTGTGTGAAAGTGTCGTAAACAGCATATCACTTCTTGAGTTAATGTGTTTTGTGAGGTCACAGTGACCTTTGGCCACCAAAATACTATCAGTTGATCCTTGAGTCCATGTGGATGTTTGTGCCAGATGTAATGCAATTCCCTCCAGGTGTTCCTGAGATATTGCGTTCACGGAGGCATACAAACATAGGGATATAGAAGTGGTCTATGTAGAAGTAACACGCCTTTACTATTTTTGGGCCATTTTAAACCAATTGAATCCAACTACGATATCGTATGGAGCTCTATAATTGATGCTGCGGCCGGCTAATGTGACTCCCTATTAAGGCTCTGCTTATACTGTAGTTGATTCCACTGATAGCTGTGGGAAACCTGCCAGGCATTAATCCACGTTAGGTAATGGGATCGTGCAGCTGAATGCAACATGCAGGATTTAACAAGAGCTTTCTAAATTCATCCGTTGTCTTCTCGCCTTTCTCTCTGAATATCTATAAGCTGAGGGTCAAAAGGAAATAAGGAGAAGCCCTGAGGTACGTAGAAAGCTTGAAATTCAATTTGCGCATGTATGAGGGTGGAATATTAAAGCTTGATGTAAGTTTAGGTCACAGTATTTTGTGCAGCTTGAAAAACTGGGTAGTTCCTTTCTCATGTTCAGTGACATAACTGCTCTAAATAGTCAACGTCCAACCCAAAACAAAAAGTTGCTACTGCAGCAAATCTCTGACCAGATTAAAGCCTTTAAATCAGATAAACACCAGGCAGTGTTCAGCTTTTATAGGAGATACACTTTATTCATTTGTCAACATTATTATTTATTTATTCCTTCACACAGCTCTTTATTATTTCCTTTTCTTTTTACAGAGAACGTGTGTGTTGTGTGAAAGGCGCTCCTCTTCCTAGCAAAGAATAAACAATAACAAAAGGCTAATATATATATATGTATATATATATAATTTAGACTCAAAGAATGAGGTCACAATTCACAGTACAAGTTTTTATCTCTTAAGAACTTAAACCTGTGATATTTTTTCATATTCATAAAAAGTTTTTTTGGAACAGAAAGAAATCAAAAAGCAAAAATCGCTTTTAAAATTCTCCAGCTCAAGTCTTTAATCCTCTTCCCATCATTGATATTGTAGAAAAACATTTCCCTTCTTAAAAAAAGCAAATTGTACGGTCTGAATAAAAGTGTTTGGTATGGATGAAAAAGCGCTCGTTGTGTGTGTGTGTGTGTGTGTGTGTGTGTGTGTGTGTGTGTGTGCGCGCGCCTCCAATGCTAAAAGAAGTGGTAGTGGGGGATGGAGTAGGTAGGCATTTTCATGACAGGCAACAGGAGCATTCTCTTGGGCAAACCTAGAGGGGAGACATGAGAAGAGCACAGCTCTGCATGAGTCCAGGGCAACAACTTCCACTCCCCTAAGGGGGAGTGGAAGTGTGTGAGTAAACAAAGTGACACCCTTCGTCGGTGGTTAGAGGAACCGAGAAGGAGAGCAATTCAGAATGAAAGAGAAGAAAACAAATGCCCAAGGTTAACCATTCATTTGGGTTTATTACAACTTGGGTCTTGTTCCTGTTGCTTTAGCAATCCTTTCAATGAATTGTACACCGTGCGTATGTCAAGTTGGCTGCTGGGAAGTGCAGGTCAACGTTGAAACGTTTCCTTTGTTTTGTCTTTTAAATAAGTTTGGCATACCTGGGGTTTGGTTCTTTTCAATGATGTCACATTGCCACATCTAAGCAATGGTGAGTACAATGTTGTTATTATTGACATGATGGACAAAACTAGGACCCACGTTGTAATAGAGTGGAATAATTATTTAAAGGAGACAGTTGAGCAGGAGAAGTTGTGCTTGGTACTGTCCTGTAGTCATAATGTATATGTTCAGTGATCTAATGCGCTGTGTCCTGAGATGTAATGCAAAATCCTGTTCCGGTGTCCCAGTGAGCCCTGCAGGATTCTAGAATGCATTGTGTTTGCCAACAAGAAAGCCCAGAGCAGCTGCGGGTGCCGGAGCACAGAGAAAAAGCAGGAAACAGGATGAAAGCTTTGTTTCCAAAAGATAAAAGGAGTAGTTCCCTGTGTTTTCATGTGCCTTTTTTCTTCCTTCCGATTCAAATGTAAGCCCCAATGGGCCCACCCAAAGATCGTTTGGGTGGGTCCAAACCAGCAATTGTATAATTGTAGTTTTTCACGTGTATCTTTTCTTTCTCAAATAGCAGTGAATTGACATTCTTCCTACTTGTAGGCGGTTACAGCTCAGGGTCAGCTGAACGCACATTGACCGCCCACCAGGGTACGTGATAGAGTATACTGATGAGTCATGGTGGCAGAGAGGCACGCGGTGCGCAAAGATTTATGCTTCATCACCCAAAGCTTCCAGACTGCGACCATTTAGGCGCATTATCTGACCATTTTTGGAGGCAGTGCTCCTAAATATTTAACTAGGAGCACCAGTGTGACTTGCAAATAACCTCCCGCCCCAAACTAAATCTTCTGTGTGTGTGTGTGTGTGTGTGTGTGTGTCCTGTTACACCAACACTGGGGTGCTGGTTTGCGATGGCACTAATGGCATTCATTACGTACTTAAAAAGTACCAATTCGGATCTATCAACGGTGTGTAGATTGATTTCAAGAGTGCGACTGAAGGTGGACACTAGCCCTGCCACAAGCAATCCCAAAACAATTAGTCATCGGTTTGGAAAGTTGTAATTGCATATTGCCTCCAGACAGCGCTCACCCGAGAGAGGGAGATGAAGTCGGAGTGAATGAGTGTGTGAGAGAGAGAGAGAGAGCGAGAGAGACAAAGGCACTTTTCCAGTATCTGGAACGCATGCATTTGAATGTCACATTTGATAAGATGACAGACATACTTTATTCATAGCGGTGGGTTTGACTCCTGTAGCTGCTTTTGAGCTCACGATTTGATCCGTTTCGAACGCAGAATTTATTCTTTGAAGTCTATGTTTAAAAAAAGCACGATTTAATTGAATGATTGTTTTTTAAATTTAAGCACCACATCTCTTTGTGACTTTTCTTTTAAAATAAAACAGCACATTGCTACTTCTGTAAATTGTCTATTCACTACTAAAGCATTCATCGGAAATACTGTTATTATATTAAAAAGAAAATAAATGAAACATTTTAACGTGTTGCCTTGCATGTCGATTAGGTGGTGCTCCAAAATGTTGTGCTACTTCCGTTGTGGAATAAAGTTAGTTTAGAGCCCTGCACCCCCACAGAAGAAACAGGGCATTTAATCACCCATTCATTTGCCAAGTATTTTCATTGGCCAGGCATGAAGCAGCCTACTGAATGCCTGCTCAAATATTTTGAATGTCATGGCCATCAACAAACATAACAAAATAATTCTGTTGCTTAAATTTTTCTAGTTGATTAAAGCAGAAACTACCGTTGGACTCTTAGTTTTTCAGTGAAAATTGTGCAGATGCCAGGGACTGAAACGAAACACCCCAAACGGATGCAGAGCTCCACCATAAACAGAACTACTAAGGCGCACTTCATATTCAGGGCTGATGGGGTCTCAGGAGGGTACCAGACGTGTGCCTTGGGCCCCGGATCAGTTTCTCCTATAGCACATAAGACCCATTCAAACTCAAAGCTGCAGGATGGACAGAAAGGCCTCCCGATGCTACATGTGTGCACACGCTACACAAGGCCGAGTCTGTCGTGGTAAATATGACCTTGTCCGAAAGAGGGACGCATGTGTGACTGAATTTTGCACCAATACCTCTGCTGTCAAAGGTCAAGGATTAGTATAGATTTTAGCCCATGCATGTGTGTGTGTGTGTGTGTGAGAGAGAGAGAGCCCAGTGAGGACATGGAAACCCCTGAGCAGCAGTGATATGACAGGAGCAGCGCTGCAGTGGCAAGGCTGCTCCTATCACCCTATCCTAAATTAAGTGGCGGATAAAGTGACAAACTCACACTATGTGTTCTGCTAATCTCAACAGAAATATATATGCAGCAAAGGAATGTGTTGGGGTTACTATCAGTCCAGAAGAGCTAGTATAGTTCGTTAGAGGTGGTTTCATCGTACAGTTTTCTACTCTTTTTCCATTTCAATTCTAAGATAGGCAGGTACGCGTGTCATCACGGTTATGATCAGTTTCTTTTGAGAGACTAGCTTGAGACCGATGGCAGCTCTTCACGGACAGACCGGTGATCCAACCAGAAGAGACGAGGAAGAGAACGGCAACAAGCAGATTAGGATCAAAGTGGTGAGCGGATAATTAGCCAAAGAACAGACTGATTAGCTTGCAGCGCGTAACAAAGAAGCAACAGTTTAGGCTTTGTGTACTTGTGACTGACACTCCGTGCCAAACCCGACAACTTGGATTAGAATGGGATCAAGTATATTTAGAGAAAAGGGGAGGAATTAAATTGAAAGGAAGTGGCGAGGAAGCGTTGGCGGTATAACATAAACCCACTGAATGATTAATCAACCCATGAATAGTTAGACGTTATGCAGGATTAGAAGGGAAATGTATAAGAGAGGACAGAAGGTGGAAGAAGGTTATCGATGGTAGAAGGAGGGTAAAAACGGGTTGACAGGCTAACAAACAAGAAGCACGTACCATATGCAGGAGCAGCTGCTGCAGCAGGGCTGTAGCCATACGGTGTCCCAAAGCCTGTTGGCGAAAGAGGTTACAGCGTCTAATTCAATTGCAGACTTGTGTAATTCCAGGCTGCATTTAACAACATGTTGGTCGTCCTGCACTCTAGCAGACAGTTATAGGTTCAGGGTAAGGCACCTGAGTCTGAGTGGAAGCTATACTATCCTTCCTAACAAGATCAACATACTGTACAGTCACAAACAACAGGGTCATATATTAGTGGAGGTTCAACATAAGCTGAAATGTAATTAATTCTGATTAAAAATCAAAAGGAAGGGTCATGAATAATATCATGTTCAATAAAACCTGATGTGAGGATCCAACAAATGTAAAGTTTTGTATATATATACAAATATAAAGCTTATTGCCTCAGTAAAAACAACAAAAGCACACACAGCTATCCTCTAGCTACCTTGCGTGACGTATCCAGGTGCGGCTGCACTGACGAAGGGTCCTCTTGCGAGGGCTGCTCTTCCTCTTCCTCTGGCTACCTGAGCTGCTACTGCTGAGGCTGCTGCTGCCGCCGCGGCCAGCGCTCCTTTAGTCTGGATACGGACACACTATGAGTGTGTTTCAAACATAATGAAAAAGGTAAACACAGTTTTTAGATACATAGATTAAAAGAGGTATTTCTGCATAAATATGGTGCACAGACATAAGGCATAAAGCACACACACACAAGACAATGTTCTAATGCATCATTGTTAAAACATCTGTTGGCTCATTGACAAAATAAGATAATTATTGATCTGATTGGACACTTGTCCCACAGCTCTGCAGAATTGATGATGACTGATCACAAAAGACTATTAAACATTATCATCTACAGAGCTGCACTGACAGTTTGGCTGTCAAGGAAGAGAATAACAGATTGCTTCGATTGTATGTTTCACTGTGTGTGTAAGTGCCCTCTGTATCTGGTATGTATTGTATGTGTGGATCTCTTCACCTGAGGCAATATCTTCTTTTTTTTGTTTGCAGCTGCGTTGGGACCAGAGAAGAGCTTCTCCAGAGCTGCCAGAGCAGCACTGGCCTTTGCTACTTTTTTGTTGGGGCCTGCCCCACGAAACTTCTGTCCATCGACCTCCACCTGACATGCACACACACACACAGAATGTCAATCAGAGCATGTTTTATGATTCGAGTTAGACAAAAAGGAACACAATGCATTTTGGGCAATCTCAAAAAAATATTTTTTCCACAATGGATTTTCTATTCTAATCATAAATGCTACTAGTGGGTTCATATTTTATGTTGCAGCTCTGTCAAAGCTAACAATCCCACAATCATGCCCAAGACCCATGACCCATGACTCATCAGCGAGTCAGCCAGCGAGCCTGGCTGAACAGGACCCTGGCTTGTTTAGCGATGCCCTGCTGTCAAGTAGGCCTGCTAATCAATCAGCAGAGCGATGGAGCAGCCAGGCATGTCGGAGAACAACACACCCCACAGAGAACAGCCCTGCTCCAGGAACCAAGTTGACTGATTGACGTTGCCGGTTTTCAGCCTGTTTCTGAGTGTGTGAGGGTGTGTGTGTGTGCGGCTTAGCCTCTGTGTGTGTCTCCCCCTGGCTAAAGTGCATGGGCATGTGTACTTGTGAAATATTATTCTATACTATTTGGATTATATGTCATGGCTGCACAATCTGTTACATGTTTTGTAATCTTTTATCAGAGTCAGACTGTGTGTGTGTGTGTGTGTGTGTGTGTGTGTGTGTGTGTGTGTGTACATGAAGCTTTTACCTCCATAACAAAGCGTTTGTCGTGGCTGCCTCCACTTTCAGAGATGAGTTCATATTTGAGGCCTCGCCTCTTTTCGTTTAGTTCCATGACGGGGTTCTTCCCACTTGCCGTCAGTATGGGACCCTGAGTTCGCACCTGGAGAGTGAAAAGATTATTTAAGTAATTTAACTTAAAAACATCTTCTTTGCTATATTAGAAAGCACACGGTGGACAGTAAACCTCGGAGACTGAGCGTGAAGATTCAACAAAGTTTGGATACCTTCTATGTCCTTAAACCAGAGAGACTGTCACATTTTAATCACTTACAGATTCAGACTTGGATTTAAAAGGATTTGAACTTTGTGTAAGCATTTGTGTATCTGCACACGTTTCTCAATCCCCACCTCCATTGTGTTGGAACTGTCCGTGGAGTGTGCTGGGTTATTGCTTGTGTGTGACGACGTCTCGCTCTTCCCCTCACCGTCCGACTTCTCGTCCGAACTCATGGGGTCCAGGTCTGAGTCAAAACCTGTCGGGTAGCCCATCGCCTGGAGAACCTAGAGAGGGTAGATGATGTTAAAAGGGAAAAAAGGATTTGGGAGGAAAGCAGACAAAAAAAAATAAAAGCTTAGATCGTTTGCTACGACAGTTTTTCTGATTAAAAAACTATACAAAAAACAATTTGTATTTTGCTGCTATTGTGCAGGCCTAAATTAATGTATTTACTTTTGGTGTGTTGTTGTCATTGATGTGAAAGTGACTAAAACAACAACACACTGTACTTATACACAATCTATGTAATAAAATAACACTAAATGGGACGAGATAGAGTTTACAATATGAGAACAAATTCCTACCGGCACATTTATAACCCTTTGTGTGTGATGGCTCTGTTTTGAACAGACTTTATTGGCATTATCAGCTAATAAAGGAAGAGAGCTGCTACCTCGGGCAATAAGAATGAAAAGGAGTGCCTAGACAGGAAATACAACCATATCCGTAAATGTGTTAACGACACAAATTACTATATTTTAACAAAGCAATTCTACCGATGCAGCAATACTGCAGTCTACTGCATGTACTGATATGACAGACTTTAATCTAATTCACACAATGGTTACAATAAAGACATTATAACATACTGTCGGTACTGTTTTTGACCCAAATGGGTGATTGTGTTGCAGCTGCTAAACCAGCCAATACAGTGAGAGAGAACAGCAGAGAGAGAGATACAATGAGAGAAAGAATGGGAGATCAAAAGGTGAGTACACGAGAAAAAGAAAGACAGTGACAAGAAGAATGGAAAAGGGGGAGAAAGAGCCTTTTATGGAAATGGTACGGATAGCGGATTAGCCTGGCTCTGTGCTCTGGAGAGCCTCTATGTTCACAACCACTTTGGGATTACATGGATTTGCCCACCTCCATCCCTCCACACACACACACACACACACACACACACACACACATATACACAGACAAAAACATATTTATAGATACACACAGGTTTGGGCTGCAGCTGGAGCTTGGATATTTCTTCAGGTAGTCAAAATGATCTCTTTTTTTATTCATGGGGTCTTTTATCATTTCGCTGTTCTGTGAACAGTATGTCCAAATAAGCACAAATTAAATCAGAGAGGATGTTCTTTCTCCTGTCAGTTGCACATGCATACCACACACACACACACACACACACACACACGCACACGCACACACTTCCCTCCTTTTCATTCCCTTTCCTGCTTACCTTAACAGCGACGTGGAGCTTGGCGGTCTTCTTGGAGGATCCAGATGCTTCATAAATGGTTCCATCCAGATCCACCGACATGGTGAAGACCGGAGCGTGAACCGGGCCCGACTGGGACAGCAGGCGATACTGCAGCCCCGGCCGGATCTGGTTCAACCGCATCAGGGCGTTCATTGGCTGGTTGGAGTCTATGGCTTTACTGTCCAGGACTAATGCAAAGAAATGGAGGGGGTATGGTTACAGTAGAAAGTAGAGCATATTAGGACAGATTTAATAAGGTTTTGTAGGGGGTGTACCAATTATTCAGCCGAAATTGGACAGACTGGGCCAATTCAGAGATACTGTTTGCAATAAATCACATTTTCTAAAAGGTTTTCAGCACACTCAACGGTTGTTTTCATGATGAATAAAAGGTGCCTCTCTATTTTCGCTCTCTTTCAACCACTTTCCTCGTGTTTGCCAATATCTAAAAATGCCTCTCTGTCTCCATTAGGCGTGGATCATCTTCTCCTTGTATGAAGAAAGAGCTGGGGATGGTTGGGTGGCCTACTAAAACGTTAGAAATCAATATACTATTGATCTGGCTCAGAGAGATGGAAAGGAATGTGGAGAGAAGCAGACAGGGAAAAATATAGAAGTGGAGGAGAGAAGCAATGTTTGTCTGCAGACAACAGAATAAGATTACTTCCATCCCTAAGCATTGTGCTGCTTTGTTTTTAGTGGTTTGAATGAAAATAAAATGTAAAATAACTAGTGTGAATTAACAGAAAAAGCATGAGAAACAGATTCAAACACTTATATGTTCTTTCCTTCCCTCTCTTACCTTTCCTCAGATTCCTCTTCATCTTCTTGATGAGATCCTTGTCATCCATTGTTCCATCCTCGTATGGCCTCTTCAGACCTAAGCCTGAGAGAAAGCAAGAGAGAGAGACCCGGAGAGAAACATACATAAAGTTACTAATCAATCATTGACTACAAGAGATGTTAACATGAACACAAACACAAACAAAGGCACTTATGTGTGACAAAAGAGAAATGGAGGCTAAGAAGAAGCACCCACAGACAAGATAAACAGAATAGACAGGCAGACCAGCAAAAAGTCAAACGATGGGAACGACATATAAACTTCTTTCTTGCATGCACCTTAATCTGTAAATACTTTGGCAATTTGCCATGTCAGCGCCACGAGGAACCAAAAGGCTTGAATCGATTTTTCCACGAAAGTCGCCTTGAAAATGTGCCAAAAATGAACATAAGCAGAAAGACTCCTCAATGAACTACGCACGAGTACCGTAGTGGAAGAAAACAGGCTAAACATCATATTTTTGTGGTGCTTCACATGCCAGCAATATTCATTCATTCGGCGCCGTCAGTGCTGATGTGTAGAAAAAACACAAAAGGTCACGTCATGTGTGAAAAGATTTGACGGGACGTTCGACCTATGACCGAAAGCCATCTGCCTGAATGCTGTAGGTTTCATGTAAGGAAGACGGACTGACGAAAAAAGCCTTTTCACAGACAGAGACAAAGTAAACAATGGAAACATACAGACAGATAATCAGACACACCTTCTTTATCAGACCAAGGATATCTCTGCGATGGCTTATTTGAGGGAAGAGGCTCCATCTCCAACACCTTGTAGATCTGCCCGAACGCCATGAGTCTGAGAGCATGCTGTTGGACGTAAAACACGAGAAAATAAAGAAAAGTTGGAAGGAACTTTATTGACAGTATGGACATTAATAGTCAAATCCTTTGCTGTTCATATACTGGCATAGAGGTAATCCAGCAATTTAGTAATGCACTTAAGTGAAAGTTAGATCCTACATTTCCCATAATGCTAATTGAGAGTGTTTCTTAGGCCTTCCCTGCCTCCTAAATGCCCACTTTCTTCAAACAGACGACGTCCAGGTAACTCAGTAAAGCCATCATAACACAGACCAATGCAAAATGAACACCCTGCAGTTTGCTACATGTACGTATCCAAGATATATAGAAGATTTGTGGTCGCATTCTCATTAAAGCTGCTGTGCTAATGTAGGACAAAGGTGGCACATTCTGGTTGAATAACTGAGACAGAGAAGAAGTTAATCTAGAATATTCAGGCTGATGTAATGATTCATTCATCTTCACAAATATTAAGATGCCAAGTCTAAACATAGAAGCACATCGACACATGTGTACATATGTAAATGAGCACTAAATGTCGGTCAGGTCTGTGCATTAATGAATGTCGACGTGTTTATAAAAACTAGTTATCTTGCAACACAGAGAATCTAGTATGTGCTCAAAGATATACTGACCAGTATGTGTGTGTGTTAATTTATCATTATCAATCTAGTGTACACATCCTCAAACAAACAATCAGAAAGACAAGCAGAATGGACCACAGTGGCTCTGCTAATACAGAACCATTAGGGAGGTACAGTGTCTCAGATATTCATGAGGCTTGGTGTAGCTCATTGACAGAACAGCTCCCTCTCTAATATCTGCTCTTGTATCTGCTCGAATACAATTATCCCCATTGACATTCCAGCCTCGTTCAGGCTGCCTTCAAAGGAAATGGACGGCAGGATTCACTAAGCCATGCGGCTCAGAGGCTGCCCTGCTCAGTCGAGTGTGCGTGTGTGTGTGTGTGTGAGAAGAAGGACATGACGGCACGTACGCCCCAAAGAGCATGCACACAAACACTGTCCTCGGGGTGTCAGAGATGGATTTATGGCTTACAATGGCAATAGTTTCCCACACCAATCATTAAAATGCAGCACCACATAGCGCTTTCTGGAGAAGCGTACGCGTGCGTGTACCTGTGCACGGTAGGTAATGGCCTCAGCCTGCTGGTCGGTCATGTTGGCTAGTGTGTTTGTTGACTCTTTCTCACATGGGTCGTGTAAACCTGGACCACCTTGGGGAAGCCAAAGAAGATGACACAGACAGACAGACACACACACACACACACACACACACACACACACACACACACACACA